GACATCCCTCCGGGAGTGAGGGGATGCTCCAGGGGATGCTCCTGGGGCTGGGGGGCCTCCGGGGATGGGGGAATGCTCCGGGAAATGGGGGTGCTCCGGGGGATGGGGGTGCTCTGGGAACTGAGTGGGGCTCCGGGAACTGGGGGATGCTTCGGGGTTGGGGGAGTGCTCTGGAAGCTGCTCCGGGAGCCGGGGAATCCTCCGGGAGCCGGGGAATGCTCCGGGAAATTAAGGAATGCTCTGGGAGCTGCTCCGGGAGCCGCAGAATGAGCCCCGAACGAGGGGATGCTCCGGGAGCCGGGAGCTGTTCCTGGAACCGGGAGTGCTCCGGGAGCGGGAGGGACGGACCGACGGACGGGCAAGGACAGGGGGACTGGGGGGACGCCGGGATGAGCAGGGATCCAGGGACGAGGGGATGCGGGAATTAGGGAAAACGGGGAATTCAGGGATTGGAGAAAATGAGGGATTCAGGGGTCGGGGGTGCCGGGGAATGCAGGAATTAGGGAAAACAGGGATTGCAGGGATTGGGGAAAATGAGGAATTCAGGGGTCGGGGATGCAGGAATTAGGGAAAACAGGGAATTCAGAGATTTGGAAAACGGGGAATTCAGGGGTCGGGGATGCCCGGGAATGCAGGAATTAAGGAAAACGGGGAATTCCGAGATTGGGAAAAGGGGGAATTCAGGGATCAGGAGTGCCGGGGAATGCAGGAATTAAGGAAAACAGGGAATTCAGGGGTCGGGGGTGCAGGAATTAAGGAAAACGGGGAATTCAGGGGTCGGGAATACAGGAATTAGGGAAAACAGGGAATTCAGAGATTTGGAAAACGGGGAATTCAGGGGTCGGGGATGCCCGGGGGATGCAGAAATTAAGGAAAACAGGGAATTCAGGGGTCGGGAATGCAGGAATTAGGGAAAATAGGGAATTCAGGGGTCGGGAATGCAGGGATTAGGCAGGAATTAAGGAAAACGGGGAATTCAGGGCAGGGGTCGGGGGTGCAGGAATTAAGGAAAACAGGGAATTCAGGGGTCGGGAATACAGGAATTAGGGAAAACAGGGAATTCAGAGATTTGGAAAACGGGGAATTCAGGGGTCGGGGATGCCCGGGGGATGCAGAAATTAAGGAAAACAGGGAATTCAGGGGTCGGGAATGCAGGAATTAGGGAAAATAGGGAATTCAGGGGTCGGGGATGCCCGGGGGATGCAGGAATTAAGGAAAACGGGGAATTCAGGGGTCGGGAATGCCCGGGAGGAGCGCGGGACGCGCGGCAGGGGCTCCTCACTTGTACAGGCTCCTTCCCCCGATGGTCTCGAGGTTGGAGAAGACGCTGAAGTTGTGCATGTGCTTGGGCCAGGACTGGATGTTCAGGTACCCTGCGGGCACACCGCGGGCTCAGCGGGGTCCCGGGGGTCTCTGTGGGGGCTCCAGGGGGGTCCCAGCCCCCCTCCTCACCCGTGATCTCCCGCACGGTGCGGAACACGTTCAGCTTCTCCGGGTCCAGCGCCGAGATGTTCCTCCAGGGGTCCCTGCGGGGCCGGAGCGTCAGCGGGGCTGGGGGCTGCACCCCCAAACCCCCCTCCCCGAGCCCCCCAAGTCCCACCCCTCACCCCTCGAGGCCCGTGATGAGGAAGTCGAGGTTGCCCAGGATCTTGGTGCAGTTGATGAAGGTGTCGATGTTGCTGGAGTCCACGGTCTGGTACTTGCTGCCGGCGCCGGTGCCCTCGCAGGCTGTGGGGCGCGGGCAGGGGGTCAGGGGGGGTCCCGCAGCCCCCAGACCCCCCTCACAGGGACCCTCACCCCCTCACCCTTGGGGCACAGCCCCGCGCAGGGATCGGAGATATTCAGCCCGTTCTTCTCCACCTCCATCTTGTCGTTGGGGCAGGCGCGCACGCACGAGCTCTGGTCCACCACGAAGTTGTCTGGGGGGCAGCGCGGGGGTCACCCAGTGTCCCCCAAAGCCCGGGTCACCCCCCCAGAGCCCCCCCGAGCCCCCCGAGCCCGACTCACGGGGGCACTGGCGCACGCAGACCCCCCCGTACTGGTACTTGGTGTCGGGGTTGGGCTCCAGCTGGAAGGTCAGCTTGTTGTAGATCAGGGGCTGCGGGCACAGCGGCACGCACGCGCCGCTGTCGTTGAAGTGCCGGCAGGCCTGCGGACGGACAGACGGACAGGTGGGCACGGGGACGGACAGACGGACATGGGGACTGACAGATGGACATGGGGACAGGGGATGGACACGGGGATGGACACGGGGATGGGCACAGCAGCACGCGCCGCTGTCGTTGAAGTGCCGGCAGGCCTGCGGACGGACAGACAGACAGATGGGCACGGGGATGGACAGATGGACAGGTGGACACGGGGATGGACAGAGGGACAGATGGACAGGGGATGGACACAGCCATGGACATGGGGATGGGCACAGAGGCACGCACACACCGCTGTCATTGAAGTGATGGCAGGTCTGGGGAAGGACAGACGGACAGGTGGGCATGGGGACAGACAGAGGGACAGATGGACATGGGGACAGGGGATGGACACGGGGATGGACAGATGGATGGATGGATGGATGGATGGATGGATGGATGGATGGACGGACGGACACAGGGGTAGGTGGATGGACGACAGGCAGACGGACAGACAGACGTACGAAGCAGTGTGTGCGCAGGGATGGACAGAAGGACAGGCAGACAGACAGACAGACGGACGTACGAAGCAGTGTGTGCGCAGGGGTGAGCAGACAGACAGATGTACAGACAGACAGGCAGACAGACGGACAGACAGACAGGCGGACGTACGAAGCAGTGGGTGCGCAGGGGCCCGGTGCAGCCGCCCGCGCACTCCTCGTGGCAGCACTCGTTGGGCGCGCGGCCGAAGCAGCGCCCGTTGCACTGCGGGGCACAGATGGTCTTGGTCAGGGACCCCAAAACAGGGGGACACCAGAGCTGGGCGTGACACCAAGGGGACCCCACAGGGACCCCAAAACAGGATGACCCCACAGCCAGGTGTGACACCAAAGGGACTCATAGGGACCCCAAAAACAGGGGGATACCAAAGCCGGGGATGACCCCAAGGGGACCCCAAAGGAACCCCAAAGGGACCCCAAAAACAGGATGACCCCACACCCAGGGGTGACCCCAAAAGGATCTCAAAGGGACCTCAAAAAACAGGGGGACACCAAAGAGACCCCACAGAGACCTCAAAAAACAGGGTGAGCCCAAAGGACCCCAAAAACAGAGGTCACCCCAAACCCAGGGATGGCCCAAAGTGACCCCAAACCAAGGGGTCACCCCAGAGTGACCCCAGCCCCAGGGGTGACCCCAAAGTGGCCCCAGACCCAGGGGTGACCCCCCAGCACCCCCAGCCTCAAGGGTGACCCCAAAATGATCCCAACCCCAGGAGTGACCCAAAGCCACCCCAAAGTCACCCCAAACCCAGTGGTGCCCCCAAAGCCACCCCAGCCCCAGGGGTGACCCCAAAGTGATCCCAACCCTAGGAGTGACCCAAAGTGAGCCCAAACCAAGGGGTGACCCTGCAGCCCCCCCAGCCCCAGGGGTGACCCCAAAGCCACCCCACAGCCCCCCAGCCCCGGGGTGACCCCGCAGCCCCCAGCCCCGCTGTCCCCGCACGCACAGCCGCGGCCGTTGTCCCTCACGAGCGGCTCCAGGCGCGTGTCCCTCATGATGTCCCTCCACTCCACGGTGTCCACGTGGCACAGCTGCGCATTCTTCTCGATGTACACGCCCCCCGCCAGGATCTCTGCGGGGACAGGGGGGTGACAGGGGGTGACAAGGAGGGACAGACCCCCCCGGACCCCCCTGGCAGCGCTGGGAGGGGATGGGGACCTTGGGGACCGTCCCTGCTCCAAGGGATGGCACAGGGGACACGGGGTGGCACTGCCATGGGATGGGACCTCGGAGGGCACAGAGGGGTGGCAGTGTCCCCAGCCCCACGGTGTCCCCAACCCCCATGGTGTCCCCATCTCCCCACAATGTCCCCAACCCCGTAATGTCCCCAACCCCACGGTGTCCCCAACCCCCGTGGTGTCCCCATCTTCCCACAATGCCCCCAACTCTCCATGATGTCCCCAACCCACCATGGTGTCCCCAACCCCTCCATGATGTCCCCAACCCCGTGATGTCCCCAACCCCACGGTGTCCCCAACCCCCATGGCGTCCCCATCTCCCCACAACGTCCCCCACGCCACAATGTCCCCAACCCCCTGATGTCCCCAACTCCACAATGTCCTCAACCTCATAATGTCCCCAACCCACCATGATGTCCCCAACCCCCTGCGATGTCCCCAGCCCACCGTACCCCTCCATGACATCCCCAACCCCATGATGTCCCCAACCCCACGGTGTCCCCAACCCCCTGATGTCCCCAACTCCACAATGTCCTCAACCTCATAATGTCCCCAACCCACCATGATGTCCCCAACCCCCTGCGATGTCCCCAGCCCACCGTGATGTCCCCAACCCCATGGTGTCCTCAACCCTCCATGTCCCCGACCCCTGTGGTGTCCCCATCTCCCCACGATGTCCTCCACCCCGCGGTGTCCCCAACCCCTCCATGATGTCCCCAGCCCCCTGCTGTCTCCAGCCCGCGGTGTCCCCGCGGCGTCCCCGCGGCGTCGCACCGGTGAGCTGGTTGAGGCCGAGCTGGCGCAGGGCGTGCGTGGTGTTGGGGTTGTAGTTGAGCAGCACGAAGAGCGCGAAGCGATCCTCGTAGAACTGCGTGCCGCGGATCACGCGCAGGTTCTGCAGCGGCAGCGCCGCGAACACGTTCATGGCGATCAGGATGTAGCCGGTCACCTCCCGAATGGTCTGCGGGGGGCTCGGGGTCACCTGCCGGCCGTGGCCACGCTCCCCGTGGGGGCTCCGGACCTCCAGACTGGCCACGTCCTGCCCTTGATGGTCACTGTCCCCATGGTGGAACTGTGACCTCCGAACTGGCCATGTCCTCCTTTTGATGGCCACTGTCCCCATGGTAGACATGTGACCTCCGAACTGGCCACGTCCTCCTTTTGATTGCCATGGTCCCCCTTGATGGCCACTGTCCCCATGGTGGACATGTGACCTCCAAACCACCGTCCCCATGGTGGAACTGTGACCTCCAGACTGGCCACGTCCTTTTGATTGCCATGGTCCCCCTGGACGGCCACTGTCCCCATGGTGGCCACATGAGGGACACGTGACATCCAAACTGGCAATGTCCTTCACATGGTGGCCATGGCCGTGGTCCCCATGGTGGCTGTGTCACCAAACTGGCCATGTCCTTCACATGGTGGCCATGGTCCCCCTTGATGGCACTGTCCCCATGGTGGACATGTGACCTCCAAACTGGCCACGTCCTCCTTTTGATGGCCATGGTCCCCCTTGATGGCCACTGTCCCCATGGTGGACATGTGACCTCCAAACTGGCCATGTCCTTCACATGCTGGCCATGGCTGTGGTCCCCATGGTGGCTCTGAACCTCCGAACTGGCCATGTCCTCCTTTTGATGGCCACTGTCCCCATGGTGGACATGTGACCTCCAAACTGGCCATGTCCTCCCCTTGATGGCCACTGTCCCCGTGGTGGCTGCGTCACCAAACTGGCCATGTCCTCCTTTTGATGGCCATGGTCCCACGTCCACATGTCCAACTGGCCATGTCCTACACATGGTGGCCACTGTCCCCATGGTGGACACGTGACCTCCAAACTGGCCACGTCCTCCCCGGGGTGACACCAGCGATGTCCCCTTTGAGGTCCCTGTCCCCGCTCAGCGGCCGCCCCCGCGTGTCCCCGGGGTCACCTGCAGGAAGGAGAGGTCCTGGGTGTGGTCGATGAGGACGATCTCCAGGTTGCCCATGACGATCTCGCAGTTGTTGTACATCTTGTGCAGGGTCTGGTACTGGTGCTGCGCGTCGCCCGTCACGCTCAGCCCGTTCAGCGTCCCCGCGCACACTGCGGGCACCCGCCGTGTCACCGGGGCCACCACGGGGCCGCCGGGGCCACCACGGCACCCCCGGCACCGTCACAGCAATGTCCCCTCCCAGCTGGCCGCGTCGGTCACGGTCATGGTGGTTGTGTCACCTCCTCAATGGCCACGTCATCCCCTTGGTGTCCCTTGGTGTCCCTTGATGTCCCTTGGTGTCCCTTGGACATGTCCTGCTCTTGGTGGCCATGGTCCCCATGGTGGCCCTGTCCCCTCCATGATCTCCTGGCTATGGCAGTGTCCCCATGGGGTCCCTGTCGCCTCCATGGTGTCCCCTGCAAACATCCCTGTCCCCTCCATGGCCTCCCCCTCAAGGTGTCCCCTCCATGTCCTTGTCCCCTCCATGGCATCCCCCTCAAGGTGTCCCCTCCATGTCCTTGCCCCCGCTCCCGGGGGCGCACAGGGTCCCCTTTGTGCGCCGCGCCCCCTCCCCTGGCCCCGCACAAAGCCGCGATTGTGGCGGGCGGCACCGGGGGGAGGCCGGGCCCCCCCAGACCGGGACCCCCGGGGGCACCGAGGGGTGCGGGCCCCCCCGGACCCGCCAGACGTGACTCAGGCCCCGGCGCGGGGGGAGCGGCGCTCAAAGGCGGCTTTGTCCGGCCCGCGACCCCTCCGGGGGCGGCCGCGGAGCTCGGGGCGCGCTCGGGAAGGGCCCCCCCGCCCCGGCCGGGCTCTCGGAGCCCCCCCGGGGCTATAAAAAGGTCCCAGCTGCCGCGGCAGCGACCCCCAGCCCCCGCCGGCACGGGGGGGCCCGGAACGGGGGGTGCCGCGACCCCCGTGAAACACCCCTGGGGTGGCGGGGGGCACCGTCCAGCCCTTCCCGGAGCTCTGACGGTGTCGGTGAATCATGAACGGCGGCGCCGAGGGGTTGGGGGGCCCCGCGACCCCCGGGTGCACCTGCCCGCGGGGGCGGGGGGCGATGCGGGCCCCCCCGGGCGCCGCGGCGGCGGCGGGACCGGGCGTTATCAGCGCGGGGCCCCGCCGGCAGCTCCGGCACGTCCCCGCTATCAGCGGCCAGGAATAGCACCGGGGCACCGGGGGGGCACCGGGGGGGCACCGGGAGGGGCTGGTCCCCGAGCCCCCCCAGATGTCCCCGTGCCGTTCCCTCTCTCGCCGTGGGACCGGAGCCCGCGGGTGGCACCGAGGCGTCGCCGGTGGCACGTGGAGCGGGGGACACAGGCAGGGGTCCCCCGGGAGTGCCCCCCACCCCGGGCACCCCCGGGCACCGCCGGGGTTTCGGGGTGACGCCGGCCCCACCTGGCGCGCCCTGCCCTCGGTGTTTTTCCTCTCGGGATTCAAAAACAACTCCCGGGCGGCCGCGGCCCTTCCGGGGTGCCGGGGCTGCGGGGCGGGCACGGCCGGGGGTCCCTCCGGGGGTCCCCCCTGAAGGATCCCCCCCGGGCCCCCTCGGGGGTCCCGCCCGGATCCCAAAGGCATCGCCGGGCCCGGCCCCGCAGCCTAAAATTAGCCCGGGGCAGCTGCGGGGCCGCAGGTGCCGGGCCCGGGAGGGGCAGCGAGAGCGGGACCGGGACCGGGAGGGGGAACCGAGAGCGGGACCGAGAACGGAACCGAGCCCGGAACGGGGCACCGAGAGCGGAACCGAACCTGGAAAGGGGCACCGAGAGCGGGACCGAACCTGGAAAGGGGCACCGAGAGCAGGACCGGGACCGGGAGGGGGAACCGAGTCCCGGGACCGATCCCGGCAAGCGCCACCGAGCTCGGAACCGAGCCCGGGAGGGGAACCGAGAACGAAACCGACCCTAGAAAGGGGCACCGAGAGCGGGACCGAACCCCAAGAGCGGGCACCGAGAGCGGAACCGAGTCCTGGAAAGGCGCACCGAGAACGGGACCGAGCCCGGGAGGGGCACCGAGAAGGACCGGGACCGGGAGGGGGAACTGAGTCCCGGGACCGATCCCGGCAAGTGCCACCGAGCCCGGGACCGAGCCCGGGAGGGGAACCGAGAACGAAACCGACCCTAGAAAGGGGCACCGAGAGCGGGACCGAACCCCAAGAGCGGGCACCGAGAGCGGAACCGAGTCCTGGAAAGGCGCACCGAGAACGGGACCGAGCCCGGGAGGGGCACCGAGAACGAAACGGAGCCCGGGAGGGGCACCGAGAGCGGGACCAAACCCCAAGAGCGGGCACCGAGCCCCCACACCGATCCCGGGAAGCGCAACCGAGCCCGGAACCGAGCCCCAGAACGGAGCACCGAGCCCCGGGAGCGGCCACCGAGCCCCGGCGCCGCCGGAGCCGCAGTCCCGGGGAGGTTTCTGTGCCGCTCCCGGTGCCCCGGAGCCGTGCGGTTCCCCTGGGCGATCCCTGGACGCCCCCGCGGGAATTGCCGGGACCGGGTCGGGATCGGTACCGGCGGGATCGGGACAGCAGCGCCGCCGCGACCCCCAAGCGCTCCCGCCGCCCATCCCGGGACCCCCGGTGCTTCCCCGGTTCCCCGCGCCCCTCCGGTGCCGGTGCCGGTGCTCACCTGCCTGCGCGGAGCCGGGCGCGGGGCCGCGGAGCAGCAGCGGCAGCAGCAGCAGCAGCGCCCGGGGCCGCTCCCGGTGCCGGTGCGGCTCCATCGCGGCGCCCCGGTAGCGGCGGAGCGTGCCCGGGAATGCACCTGGCGCGGGGCCGGGCCGGGCGGGGCCGTGCCGGGCGGGGGACC